TGTACATTGGACAAACGTCTCAGACACTTCGCCAAAGGATCAATGCCCACAAAACAGATATTAGACAGGATCACAAAGAAAAAACAGTTTCTTGCCATTTCAACCAGAAAGGACATTGTCTCAACGACTTGATTACCTGCATCCTGCTTCAAAGACCTTTTAAGACTACACTTGAAAGAGAATCCTCTGAACTGTCATTCATGCTTAAATTCGACACTTTACACCTAAACTTAAACAAAGACATCAATTATCTTACCCATTACAAAGATAGCTTCCCCAATTATCACCTCTAATATCATTAGCTCACAGACATTTACCTTCCCACCCCCATCCCTCTTCTGTTCTGAAATTTGATTTGTCCTTTTCATATGTGTTCATTTTTTAATTGTATCCTTTGGTGTATATGGTTGTGACAATTTTCTTCCACTATTTGATCTGAGGAAGTGGGTCTGGCTCATGAAAGCTCATCACCTAATAAACCATCTTGTTAGTCTTTAAAGTGCTACATAGTCCTGTTTTTTCTTTCAGCTACACCAGACTAACACGGCTACATTTCTATCACTTTTTGAAAGAGAACATCCAGACTGCCTAGGTGCTCTCTTTCGAAAAAGCAGCTCACTTTTTCAAAAGTACTGGCTTCTATCTAGATGCGCTCTTTTGAAAGAGGCTTGTAGTCTAGATGTGCCCTAACTGGTTTTCACCCTGTAATCTGCAGACCTCTGGTGACTGCAGACTATATCTAAGGGATCCATGAAAAGTCTACTATCAAACAGTGATTTTCAGCCTGTGTTCTACAGATCCCTGGAGTCTACAGACTTCTGCATTCTGTGTGAAATTTCAGATGGGGATCTGCATTTCATGTGAACATTTTTAGAGGTCCACAAATGAAAAAAATGATAAAAACCACTCACTCGCAATATAAAAAAAACCACCTCTAGAATTGTGAATGCAGTACCATTGATTTATAAACCTCACAAGCCAATTGCATCTGCAGGTCAGATAGGTGTCGAAAAAAGATTAATTGCAGCCTCCTTTAATTGTGGATGCAATATTTGAGGCTTAATTAAAAATCAGGGTATGTCTACACTACAGCGCTAATTCGAACTAACTTAGTTCGAATTAGTTTATTCGAACTAAGCTAATTCGAACTAACACATCTAGAACTAAAAACTAGTTCTAATTAGCGTTTTGCTAATTCGAACTAGCGCGTCCACATTAAGTGGACCCTGAAGCGGGGTTAAGGATGGCCGGAAGCAGTGCCAGCAGGGCATCAGAGGAGGACTTAGAGCGTGGAGATGCTGTCTCAGGCTAGCCGAGGGCTGTTCTTAAAGGGTCCCGACCCCCACCCCGGACAGACAGTTCTCAGGGGTGCCCCGCTTGCAAAGCAGTCCTGGCTTGGAGTGCCCGGACTACCCACACTGGGCACATCACAGCACTCGGCCATCAGCCCAGCTGCACTTGCCGCAGGCTGCCATCTGAGGAGAGGGGGCAATTGGGAGTCTGCAGGAGAGCTTCCACCCCCAGAAGCCCACAGAGCCAGCCCAGTCCTTCCCATCGGGGGCTCATGCCCTATTCCTCCCTCACCTCCTTCCACTTACCCTTCCCTAGCCCCTCTTCTTGATGTACAAAATAAAGATAACGTGTCTTCCAAAATGGAATCTGTCTTTATTGAACAAAACTGGGGGAGACTGGGAAAAGGAGGTGGGATAGGGGAAGAGAGAGGCTGGGAGAGGGGAGGGCAACTAAAATGATCAGGGGTTGGGAACAGGTCCCATATGAAGAGAGGCTAAAGAGACTGGGACTTTTCAGCTTAGAAAAGAGGAGACGGAGGGGGGACAGGATAGAGGTCTCTAAAAGCAGGAGTTGGGTGGAGAGGGTGCATACAGAAAAGTTCTTCATTAGTTCCCATAAAGAAGGACTAGAGGACACCAAAGGAAAGGAATGGGTAGCAGGCTTCAAACTAATAACAGAAAGTTCTTCTTCACAAAGCAAAGAGTCAGCCTGTGGAACTCCTTGCTGCAGGAGGCTGTGAAGGCTAGAACTGGAACAGAGTTTAAAGGGAAGTGAGATCAAGTTATGGAGGTTGGGTCCATGGAGTGGTATTAGCCAGGGGGTAGGAGTGGTGTCCCTGCCCAAGGTTTGTGGAAGGCTGGAGAGGGATGGCACGAGACAAATGGCTTGGTCACTGTCTTCGGTCCATCCCCTCCAGGGTCCTTAGGGTTGGCCGCTGTTGGCAGACAGGCTACTGGGCTAGATGGACCTTTGGTCTGACCCAGGATGGCCATTGTAAGCTCAGGGCTCAGGGTCGGGGGTCTCAGTGGACCCCCTTGATTCTCTTGCACACCTGCTCCTGGGTGACCAGGCTGGCAGCTCTCCTGCCCTAGACGGCCACTTTCCTGTGCCTAGTGCGGAGATCGTAGACGAGGTCCACGATGTCTGCACTAGCCCAGGCGGGTGCCCGCCTCTTGCGGTCCCGGGCAAGCTCCCGGGAGCCACCAGCCTGGTCCTGGGAAGAGGGGGAGGGCTGGGGGCATCGGTGGCTGGCTCGATCCGTGCCAGGTGCAGGGTCTGCTGGCTGGGTGCTGGTAGGCTTGCACCTGGCACGGGCACTGTAGCCAGCCCGTGCCCCTTTAAGGGGTCCGGGGCCGGGAGGGGGGCAGACGAGTTTCCCTGGTGTTGGCCAGAGTGGCCACCAGGGGAACCTGGGGAGGGCTAGCCTCCCACTAGTTCGAATTAAGGGGCTACACACCCCTTAATTCGAACTAGCTAGTTCGAACTAGGCTTAATCCTCGTGGAATGAGGATTACCTAGTTCGAACTAAGCGCTCTGTTAGTTCGAATTAAATTCGAACTAACGGAGCGCTAGTGTAGCGCCTATGAAAGTTAGTTCGAACTAACATCCGTTAGTTTGAACTAACTTTGTAGTGTAGACATACCCTCCGTGTCAGCATGTGTTAAAACTTTACTACAAGTACAAGCCACTAATAATACAAAATAAGAATGTTCCTGAATTTAAATAAATACCTTCAAGGAACTTCTCCTCTGTCAAAGAGGAAATACCCAAGCCTTTATTTTTATCCCAGTGAAGAATACAAGTATGATGAATTAAATATTAACTCACTAAAGTAAAATAAATTGAATGTCCTGTGTGGTATTTTAGTATTATTGTCATCTGTTCTATCATGCTCTCATTTATCACATCTCTTCTATGGATTTGCTATATTTAAGTTGTCATATTGGCTGGAAAACAATACAAAAAAGCTGTTTCCAAGCAGTTGCCAATACTGTGTCTTGGGTTGCAGTTTCATTATAGTGGACAGTTTTACATCCCGTCACCAGGAAAAAAATGGTTTGAACATCCTATAGCCTTCTGAAATGCATAACTTTTCAAAGAAAGAACTATTTTGTCACAGAAACAGGGATGTGCACAATGTAAATATTAATTAGCTCCAGATACATGTTCACATTCAGGAAAAGAACTCTTTAAATGCTTGTCATTGTTGCCTTTGTTAAAATGCTGAAATCTATCATTGTTACAGATTTCCTGTTTATTTAAACATTTCCTGCCTACACTTGATTAGTCTATATTTATGTTAGAACGTGAAAGTAAGAATAAAAGGTTAGAAGAGTTTACAATATTTTCTGCTAAAGCTATTCAAATTCTCCTAGAAACACAGTAGTTCTTCATGTTTAGATAGATTGTGAGAATTTGTCTATTAGCTACCTGCACTAATATAAACAATTCCTGATTTCCATGCACACTGCTTTATAATATTTTGGTTTAAATCTATGTGTTGGCTAGATGTAAAAAAATCTTTATGTATTGGTTATTATGTGTCACAACAATGACCCTGTAAGTCTTACATGACTTTTCCTTCAAAAAGGATGATTTTTACATAAATAAAAAATCGACTTCCCTGCCAAAGAACAACTGCCTGGCCGGGCAGTGGGGCATTTATAATAGAAATTTCTCATGTTTATTCCATATCCAGAGGAAATGATTTTTGGGAAGTTTGAGATTAATTGGATAAACTATTTCAGCACAGTGCCACGCTAATTTATGGATTTTTTTTTTTTGAGATTTATGGGCCAGATTTTAAAAGAAAGGAAACCAATGGAAGTTAAGCACCTAAATAGCTTTAAAAAGCAGTATCTATGCTAATTATTTTGGTCTTCTCTCATCTCAAATATGAAATGTTTGAGTATCATACTTATGAATGAATACTGGTGTATAAACCCATTTTTATGAAGTTGCAGCACAAACTTCTTAGTTTATAAAGGGTCAGGTTTTTTTTATTAGCTGTGAGGTTTGTTTTCCGTGTTTTATAACTTTTGGGAGAGATATGAAATTTGTTTTTTCCTAACTTGTTATGTTTAACAGCAAATTGCTGTTCTAATAACCAGAAAGGTTGAAATTGGGACTAGAAAGGGAGAGAACTGGGGAAGAACAATAACACAAGTGAAAACAAAGGGGGGGGGGAGGAGCCCACAGCAGAGAACAAGGGGCCAGAGCTTGAAGTCTTCAGTAAGGAAAAACTCCCCAAGAATTCATTAAGCCTTAGGCCTGAATGCAAATGCAGGTTAAAGCCAAGTAAGAATTGAGTTATTGGGTCTCTGAGGAGAGGTAGATTTTAAAATGAATGGAAAAGAGATGAGATGGTTGGGAGCTGTGCCAAAGTATGGTGAGAGGGAAGCTGTGGGTTGGTGCCCAGGCAATGGACAAAGGATTACACCAAGTAAAAATTTGCAGCCACTATATCAGCTCTCTTTGTTGTTAGTGCAGCTTAGAAAATGAAATCCCATCACTTGGTTATAAGCATGTTACTGTGATTTTTATGATCTATTATGGCCCATCATGTGGTCAGAGTTCCTACTGTTATGATTCTAATACAGATTTTATTCTCCTGTGATACTCCTCCCCAGGTTTCCTTCCTTCTATTTTCCTTTTCCGTTTCAGTATTTTTCTTAGTACTTTTTAATGTTTTCACTTTTTACTCTTTCTTTCCTTTCCCTCATTTTTGCCCCTTTCTCTACTTGGACACATCTCTTCCTCTGCAATTCCTACCACCTTCCCCATTTGCTCCTAACCTAATCTAGTGTTGCAGGGATTCCCTATTCTACTAGTGCCTCCTCTTATTAATGCCTCTTCTGGCTCACCTGCATTATAAGAACAGTAGCACTACAGGCCAGGATTATTCCTGTTAAGCACCAAGTAGTGCAGTGGTTTTCAACAAATGGTCCATAAAAAGGTGGTTGTCACCATAAAACAGTGGTTTGCAACCTATGATCCACAGATACCTCGGCAAAATATCCAAAGAGGACTGCACCCTCCATTCAAAATTTTCTAGGTGTCTGCAAATGAAACAAAGTCTGAAAACCACTGAACTAGGGGATTGGTGAGGAAGGAAAGGACAGACCACAGGTCAATCTGATTGGCTGATTTTTGGTTTGGATTATATACAAGCACAACAGGGGCATCCATAAAATGAGGCTTTGTACAGGAACTGCTAGAAAAAAAAATCTAAAAAAAAAAAAAGCCCATGAATGTCTCCATATATACATTTTTAAAAGTTTGTCCAGTTTTTAGCTTTTATGACCAAGGAGCAGCACACTGCAATCACTAATCCTGGCTAATCTTTCCTTTGCAGTTTAAGTGCTGTGGAGTGGTATATTTTACAGATTGGCTGGAAATGACAGAAATGGACTGGCCTCCTGATTCCTGTTGTGTTAGAGAGTTCCCAGGATGCTCCAAGCAGGCACATCATGAAGACCTTAGTGATCTTTATCAAGAGGTAGGGAGGAAAAAGTAGTTTTTACATTTCGTATTATTTCAGAAGGGTGTGTCTGGAAATGTTCCTGTGACTTCCGCACTATAACATGCAAGTCAGCAAAAGGCTTTGGGGAGCAGCTCATCTTTACTAAAGTTTTCCTTGGAATTTTCCCTTCTATTTTTGGCAAGGCTTTCCCACCATTGGGAGAGATGTCTTTCCAAAGCTTGTGTATCTTTCCTGCCTTCAGACATTCACCCCATCCCCAATTCTGCATATGTTGGAAACTACTCCAGCAATGGAGGTGTGTGTTACAAATATATGAGCATGTCTTGACAAATGGACTCTGATGAATCTGTGTCATGCTTCTCAAGAAATGCTGTAGTAAGCAGAAAGGTTCAGTTGGTAGGTGGAAATGGAGGGGGAGATTTTAATAATAGTGATCCATATTCATTCCTGTGTGTAACTCCATTGAAACTACAGGGCAGTATCATCATTTTAAAGATTAAGGATTTGGTTTCTTCTTCTTCTTGGTTATCGAGTAATAGAGAAATCTTGCATTGTTAAAGGGAGCTATGCCCAGAACAGAGGGGATAGATTTATGGCTTGCCTTCAGCTGAAGCTTTCAAAAAATCTGTTCACCTAGAAATGTGATAAAGGATTACCAATCCAGTCAATATCTCATGTGTCTAAGCCCTGAAATAGCTATTTTACATTCAATAATATAGTCACATGAGTCTTCCAGTTCTGGCAAGCTGATTATGTCTTCATGGCTGTGGACATAAAATACTACATGCTAATTCATAAATTCCATTTCTCAACTCACCAGGGTGGAGAGAGATTTCAGGATTGTTCTGGCCTTCAGGTTCAATGGTGATGAAGGCCCCATAAGCACCTAGACAGGAAGATGCCTCTGGCAAGTCCTTTGAAAATCAAAGAACTCTGTTAAACTTTAGCCAGCAGGGATCATGCACACAGAGAAGTAACATAGTCATTCCATTGTGAACATACATGGATACCTTATGCCAAAGCAATCATTTTCTACGGTCTGCACTATTATTGCTGTGTTGTGAATAATATTAAAACAAAAAATTAAAAAACATGATGAGGGGGAATGCATTTGAGCCTGGAGAGACTGATAGTATCATTTGAACAAACACATCATTGTATGTAGGATCAAAATATGTCAAAGCTAAGAAAACACTTTCATTAATGATGCTCTTATCTCTTCTCATGCAGACTTGCTCTTGAGCCTGCTTCATCAAAGTGTGCTGTTTTTGTAGGCATTATCACTTATGCTGACAGAAAGCTGAAAATCATTAGTTGTGCTTTCAATAGTACTATGATTGATTGTCTCCAAAATGGAGGCATTGGGAATATAAAATGTGAAAAAAGGCTTTGAGAGGAGAACAAATGGCATTTGCCTTCATGTGTATGGTTAGGTGTGTGAAATAAGCTTGAGTTTGTAATAAAGAAATAGTATTTGATCCTATTTCAAGACTTATATCATTTGAATTGTACCTTGGAATGGTTATGGTTTCTACTTGAACACAACAATCATAGTCCATGTGGCATAACAACCAAATATTAGAAATAAGTAAAAGTATTGTTGGTGGTTTTTTGTTGCTTTAAAAGTAGGGCTGTCAAGCAATTAAAAATTAATCCTGATTAAACACACAGCTAATCACACAGTTCAACAATAATAAAATACCATTTATTTTAATATTTTGGGTGTGTTTTATTTTCATATATATTGATTTCAGTTACAACTCAGAAGACAGTGTACAGTGCTCACTTTATATTTATTTTTTATTACAAATATCTGCACCATAAAAAACAAAATAATATTTTTCAATTCACTTAATTACTACTTCTCTAGTGCAATCTCTGTCATTCATGAAAGTTTAACTTACAAATATAGAATTGCATATAAAGAATAATTGCACTCAAACCAATGTCAAACTTTAGAACTTACAAGTTGAATCAGTTCTACTTCTTGTTCAGCCTGTTGCTCAAACAAGCAAGTTTACAATGTCATCTGAAAGTGAGAACAGGCACTGTTATAGTCATGGTCACAAGATATTTATGTGCCAGATGTACTAAAAATTCATATGTCCTTCATGCTTCAACGACCATTCCAGAGGACATGGGTACATGCTGGTGTTGGGTTCTGCTTGATAACAATCCAAAGCAGAGAGGACCAACAACACATGTTCATTTTCATCATCTGAGTCATATGCTACCACAGAAGGTTTTTGGGGGGTTGAATTTTATAGTTTCTGCATTAGAGAGTTGCCCTTTTAATACTTCTGAAACATGTTCCACATCTTGTTCCTCAGATTTTGGAAGACACTTCAGATTCTTAAGTGCTATTGCTATTTTTAGAAATCTCACATTAGTACCTTCTTTGGGTTTTGCCAACTCTGCTATGAAAGCGTTCTTAAAGCCCTAGTCTACACTAGGGAGTTATTTCAAAATAACTTCCCTTATTTTGAAATAACAAGTGGAGCCTACCAAGCCTGTTACTTTGTTTATAACTACCGAGCCTGTTATTTTGAAATAATAACTTCTGCTTTCCATGAAGAATAACACTTATTTCAAAATTGCAGTAGTGTAGACATTCCATTATTACTATTTTGAAATAACTTCTCCCCAGAGTCATTCAAAGTAATTATTCCTTGGTTCTTCCTGGGGCTCTAAGTTGAAGTAGCACATCCATGTTAAGAGAGCCTGCCTCGGGCTAATTTTGAGGCTTCTGTGTAGTGTGGACGTGCTATTTCATAATAGTTCTTTCAAGAGTTATCTGTCTATATTATTTAAAATATTTTTCCTGCAGGATGACAGTGACATGGTCTCATCACTCAGCATCCCACAGTCCCTCCCCAATCAGCCACCCTTCCTCCACCCTTTCCCCACCTTCTCCCTGCTGCTACCCCAGCAGGGATCAGCTACCCATGGTTCCTGAGCAGCAGCAGAAGCAGTGAAGGTAAATGTCTGCTGCTTGTGGGCTTCTGGGGGAAAAGGAGGTAAATGGTGGTTGGCAGGCAGAGAAGCCCACTGTAGGGGGGGCTAAAAAAGTTCCAGCAACCGGGAGTTAAACATTTCCTGCCTACACTTGATTAGTCTATATTTATGTTAGAACGTGAAAGTAAGAATAAAAGGTTAGAAGAGTTTACAATATTTTCTGCTAAAGCTATTCAAATTCTCCTAGAAACACAGTAGTTCTTCATGTTTAGATAGATTGTGAGAATTTGTCTATTAGCTACCTGCACTAATATAAACAATTCCTGATTTCCATGCACACTGCTTTATAATATTTTGGTTTAAATCTATGTGTTGGCTAGATGTAAAAAAATCTTTATGTATTGGTTATTATGTGTCACAACAATGACCCTGTAAGTCTTACATGACTTTTCCTTCAAAAAGGATGATTTTTACATAAATAAAAAATCGACTTCCCTGCCAAAGAACAACTGCCTGGCCGGGCAGTGGGGCATTTATAATAGAAATTTCTCATGTTTATTCCATATCCAGAGGAAATGATTTTTGGGAAGTTTGAGATTAATTGGATAAACTATTTCAGCACAGTGCCACGCTAATTTATGGATTTTTTTTTTTTGAGATTTATGGGCCAGATTTTAAAAGAAAGGAAACCAATGGAAGTTAAGCACCTAAATAGCTTTAAAAAGCAGTATCTATGCTAATTATTTTGGTCTTCTCTCATCTCAAATATGAAATGTTTGAGTATCATACTTATGAATGAATACTGGTGTATAAACCCATTTTTATGAAGTTGCAGCACAAACTTCTTAGTTTATAAAGGGTCAGGTTTTTTTTATTAGCTGTGAGGTTTGTTTTCCGTGTTTTATAACTTTTGGGAGAGATATGAAATTTGTTTTTTCCTAACTTGTTATGTTTAACAGCAAATTGCTGTTCTAATAACCAGAAAGGTTGAAATTGGGACTAGAAAGGGAGAGAACTGGGGAAGAACAATAACACAAGTGAAAACAAAGGGGGGGGGGAGGAGCCCACAGCAGAGAACAAGGGGCCAGAGCTTGAAGTCTTCAGTAAGGAAAAACTCCCCAAGAATTCATTAAGCCTTAGGCCTGAATGCAAATGCAGGTTAAAGCCAAGTAAGAATTGAGTTATTGGGTCTCTGAGGAGAGGTAGATTTTAAAATGAATGGAAAAGAGATGAGATGGTTGGGAGCTGTGCCAAAGTATGGTGAGAGGGAAGCTGTGGGTTGGTGCCCAGGCAATGGACAAAGGATTACACCAAGTAAAAATTTGCAGCCACTATATCAGCTCTCTTTGTTGTTAGTGCAGCTTAGAAAATGAAATCCCATCACTTGGTTATAAGCATGTTACTGTGATTTTTATGATCTATTATGGCCCATCATGTGGTCAGAGTTCCTACTGTTATGATTCTAATACAGATTTTATTCTCCTGTGATACTCCTCCCCAGGTTTCCTTCCTTCTATTTTCCTTTTCCGTTTCAGTATTTTTCTTAGTACTTTTTAATGTTTTCACTTTTTACTCTTTCTTTCCTTTCCCTCATTTTTGCCCCTTTCTCTACTTGGACACATCTCTTCCTCTGCAATTCCTACCACCTTCCCCATTTGCTCCTAACCTAATCTAGTGTTGCAGGGATTCCCTATTCTACTAGTGCCTCCTCTTATTAATGCCTCTTCTGGCTCACCTGCATTATAAGAACAGTAGCACTACAGGCCAGGATTATTCCTGTTAAGCACCAAGTAGTGCAGTGGTTTTCAACAAATGGTCCATAAAAAGGTGGTTGTCACCATAAAACAGTGGTTTGCAACCTATGATCCACAGATACCTCGGCAAAATATCCAAAGAGGACTGCACCCTCCATTCAAAATTTTCTAGGTGTCTGCAAATGAAACAAAGTCTGAAAACCACTGAACTAGGGGATTGGTGAGGAAGGAAAGGACAGACCACAGGTCAATCTGATTGGCTGATTTTTGGTTTGGATTATATACAAGCACAACAGGGGCATCCAT